TTGTGTAGGTCTTGTCTTCCACAATGAGGACTTGCTGTCAGTTTGTGGAGAACAACCTATAGTCTTGCCAACAGCTTTGGTTGTTTGGTGGTTCTCATGGGCCCCCTTTGGCCAACAACTCAAACCCAGTCCTGGTACTGAAAGCTTCACTTGGTGATAAGAGATGTCAGGTTCCAACTCTGTATAAGCAAAAAATGTAGATTTGACATTTGATCATAATATAAAAATGTCTAATACAGAGCTGGTGAGATTGGCCATTGGGTAAAGATTTTCTGCTAAGGATCTGAATTCAATTCCTAAGAGCACATTGTAGGAGTTAACTTATTGTCACAAGTTGTCCTCTGACCTCCATGTGTTCATCATGTCACACATGCAGCCATACACATAAATAAACATAAAAAAAGGCTTTTGAGAAATTCTGTACAGACTGCTATGGCTAATTGTACCAAGATTTATTTGAATGATTCTCATTAATTTAGAGAAAGGTATAATTAAGCTTTCCTTTTTTAGAACCCAAGTTCTCCATTTCATTGACATGTTTTATCCTCTTTTTGGTTATACTGTACAAAAATTTTTATTCTAACAATGAAATGTATGCTTCCCTTTACACACTGAAGGTTAGATTTTTCTGGAACATTGTCATATGATTTTTAAGGAGCATATTAATATCTTTCCCAGTTTATCTTCAAATTAATAATTATAGGCTTTGAATTAAATAATTTATGTTTTTAAATTTAACTTTATTTTAAAAATTTATTCAGTTTACATCCCAATTGTGGGCCTGTGTCTGGTCTCCTCTCAGCCCCACTATTCATCTCTTCCCCTTATTCCCCTCCCCTAGACCTTAGAAAGGGGCATCCTCCTTCTCTACCAACTGATCCCAGCCTACCAAGTCCCATCAGGACTACCTGCATCTTCTTCCTGTGTGACCTGGCAAGGGAGAAGTGATCAAAGAGTGGGCAACAGTATCCATGTCAGAGACAGCCCCTGCTCCTTTTATTAGGCTACCCACATGGAGACTGAGCTGCCTATTGGCTACATTTGAGCAGGAGATCTAGGTTATCTCCATACATGGTTGGTACATCAGTCTCCACAGCCTCTACTCTCCCTCCCCTCTCATTCAGATTTGTTGACTGTTGGTCTCCTTGTGGAGTTCCTGTCCCTTCCAGATCATTCTATTCCTCCATTCTTTCATAAGACTCCCCACTCCCTGCCCAAAGTTTGGCTGTGAGTCTCAGCATCTGCTTTGATCCCCTGCAGGGTGGAGTCTTTCAGAGGCCCTCTATGGTAGCTTCCAGTCCTGTTCCTTCTCTTTGAGTACTTCCAGTGTCTATTCTATTTGCCCTTCTGAATGAGAAGTAAACATACTTACTCCCTAGGCTCCTCCTTTTTTACTTAGCTTCTTGAGGTTTGTGGATTGTAGTATGGTTATCCTGTATTTTACAGCTAATACCCGCTTAAAAGTGAGTATATATTGTGTGTGTCTTTTTGGGTTTGGGTTACCTCACTCAGGATGATCTTTCCCAGGTCCATCCATTTGCCTGCAAGTTTCATTATGTCCTTATTTTTAATAGCTGAACAGTATTCCACTGTATAGATGTTCCACAATTTATTTATTTATTCTTTGGTGGAGGGTCATCTGGGTGGTTTTCAGTTTCTGGCTATTAGGAATTTATATTGTTTTTAAAGGTAGAAACCAGATAAAAATCCAGTAATTAATCCTGGCCTTCTACATGACGAATCTCTCTGAGATCAAAGGATACCTTGTTAGCCATTTAGAAAAAAACATACTTGTAAAAACCCAGTCAGTTCTGAACTATCAACATCTCTAGCTTCTCCTAAGACTTTGAGTTAGAAGTCAGTGATGAGTTCAAAATACCAAATGAAACACATTCCCGAGGTCTCTACTGAGAGTGATAAAGTGTGTTTTCATAGTGTCTGCTATGGAGTATTTGCCCCAAATGTTAGAGTGTACCTGTTAGGAAAGTTTTTGTGACATTCATACCATTATAACTATTTTTATGAAAAAGTTTACATTTTATCATATGAAAACAGTTGAATGTTGAAATCTGATCTTTTCTGCTCATACTTTCTAAGTCTCTCAAGACTTTTCCAATCCTTTGTAGTTTGAAAGATTTAACAATTTTCAAAGAGTCTCTTTCTAGTTATACCATTAGCTATACAGGTAAAGACTGAATCTGTTTCATCTAAAACTATTTCTTCTCCCTAGGACAATGTCTAATTCTGTTTCTATTTATTGACTAATGAATATTGGACTGAGTAGAATTATCCTAAATGTTTTTCAGCCTCCGTGAGTTATGCATGTGATGGAGCTCTCAATATATATTTATATGTATCACTCAATTTTAATTCATAAACTATAATAGAAGCATCGGACATTTGTTATTACAAGTGTGTGCTGTGGCTTTTGAGAAAATGGTGCCAAGACTAGGTTGTAGTTGCAAAATTTTTAATTGATTGTAGAATTTGGAATTTGATGAAAAGGAAATGGATACTTTATTTGAGTATTATTGGGAACAAAAGAATTGAGCTAATGTCAATATTTAGGACTCGACTAAGTAGAAGTTACAGAATATTTCATAGAAGTTCAAGATTTGTATTTGTCATTTCAATGTCAATAAATTAGATGTACATAACAAATACCGTACCACACTTTTTCAGTTTGCCTTCTGTGCTCCACCAGACATTTGTATATAAAGCATATAAATATTTTACATTCAGTTATATTGTGTTTACAGTGTACATATGTAATGAATAGACTTTATAATGCAGCCACCAATGCAATGATGCATCCAAAACGTTTAAGACACTTTGTAGTAAGTTTTTTTTTCTTCTTAAAAAAGTGTGCTTGGGCCATATACTACCAGCATGGCTTTTGAAGCTGCCCCTCCAAGAAAACCCAGTTGTGTTTCTACATAAACTGGATCAAAGTACTAGGGAAGAAATTACCTCCTTTACTTAAGAATGCTTTGCATGTTATGGTTTGAAGGTATGTCTAAAAGTATATATTTTTTTACATATAATAAATAATTTCACTAATAAGTTAAATATGCTATTCTGATATTGATTTTCTTTATTTTTTATAAAGATCATTTTGATCATCTTTCCCCTTTCTCCCAACTTCTCCCAGATAACACTGATTTTAAACACAAAGTTTTAGACTATTGTTAAGTTAACTGATATATTTTAAAATTTTATACTTAAATGGTATTTGTATGTTAAATATGTGTATTTTTCACTTAGAAATATGTTGAATAAAGATAAAACCCTTCAGCTAATTGTAAGGACATACAGAAAAGCCAAAAATCCTTCTTTCTACATTGATAAGTAGAATCAGTCGATATTTAAATCACTCTCTCTGATTGTTTAGACACTTCGAGTAAACTTATCTCTGATAAAGTCAATCCATCAGGTCCTTTCAAAAGCCTGGCCATTTACCCAACTTAACTATTTTGAAGGGGGAAGGCAGGTGTATGTATGTGTGTGGGGGAACACTGCCTCTGTTCCCATTGCTTTTGGCGTAGAATTAGGACTCAGGGGCATAAGGGACAAACTTTGGAGTTGGCTTTTATTATCAGACAAAATGATATTTTACAATAGAATGGACAAAGAAAGTCCCATTGAAGGGAGCACATCTCAGGTAAAGCTAGCCGGACTTTTATTCTTCACCTTCTTAAAGCCGCCTGGAGACAGGCTCATTGTGTTGGCCTATACTGTTGGTTCAAGGCATCTGAGCAATACACAATGTATCACTTATCAGGAGAACAAAAGGCTCCTTCATGGGTCAAACTGTGGGGAAGATGACAGCTGCAGACTCAAAGCCTCTCTGGCCTGATTCTCTGCTTGGGAAGGAACAGGAAGTAGACTATTCATGAGGACTTTTATGTCTACCTCTATTTAATTTGACTCAAGTAAGATTAGCCTCTTTCAAAACGTATTTATCTTCAACAGTAATCTTAGATGTTTTTCTGTTATAAGAACCTTAGTTCTAAAATTGTATTTTGTGAGACAATACAGCAGAAATATTTTTTATTTAGCTGCACAGTGCCTCCGTATGTTTAAGTGCCTAACCTTTGAATAACATATTTTTATATCAAAATTCCAATTTAGATTTTTACTTGGCTTTAAAATCCAGAGGAAATCAGAAACATTTTGTATTATAGATAGTGCCAAAAACTATCATTCTGCCAACATAGTTAAGTTGTAGTTTAATGCCAAACATGGATTCTATCATTAAATATTTTTTATTAAATGTAATTATAATTTTTCTTTTAGGAGTCTAAGTTTATGCATACATTTTTATTAGATTTTAAGTCTATATTTAAAGCTTTTATAGTTTAAATGCCTTAATTCTTGAATAACCACAGAACAATAAGCATCTCCTTATTAATTTAGAGGTCTTTTAGTTTCTGGATAGGACATCAATGTGAGAATAATTTAATACAGACAAGGTCACGCACAGAAAGTCTTCACTGGCACATTTTACAGTCATTCAGTTTTGCATCTTCTTGACAAATATATTTGCATTCTTACAAATCAGAATAATAGGATTGGATGGTATGAGTGCCTTGCTGAGTTAAAATGGAATATGAATATGCATGTGCAGTGCAACTACAGAACCTTATTAACTTGAGATGTTCTTGGAATGGAAGGAAAAATCTATGGATAAAAATTTAGAGAAAACAGAATCTAAGAGTTTAGGGTTATAGCTCAGCCAAAGAGTAGATAATTAGCATATATGAGACCTTGGATTCAGTCCCCAGTTACATACACACACGCTAAACAAAGAAACAAACAAAAACAAACAAACAAGTAAATACTGAAAAGCAGTTTCATTGATAGCCTTAATATTGCTAACTTAGTGAAATAAATTTCATATATGGGCTCTTGTTTCAGTAAGCACACATGCTCCTTCATTTCAAAATGTTTGTCTCAAAAACAAAACAAGCCGGAGCGCAGACCCAGGAAGCGGCCGGGCGGACAGTAGCGAGCCGCACCCGCTGCCATGGAGCGGAGGGTCGGGAACAGGTACCGGCTGGGCCGCAAGATCGGCAGCGGCTCCTTCGGAGACATCTATCTCGGCACGGACATTGCTGCAGGTGAAGAAGTTGCCATCAAGCTAGAATGTGTTAAAACCAAACATCCTCAGCTCCACATTGAGAGCAAGATCTACAAAATGATGCAGGGAGGAGTGGGCATCCCAACCATCAGATGGTGTGGGGCTGAGGGGGACTACAATGTCATGGTGATGGAGCTACTGGGACCCAGCTTGGAAGACCTCTTCAACTTCTGTTCAAGGAAGTTTAGTCTCAAAACTGTTCTGTTGCTTGCTGACCAAATGATAAGTCGTATTGAGTACATTCATTCGAAGAATTTTATCCACCGAGATGTGAAGCCAGATAACTTCCTCATGGGGCTGGGAAAGAAAGGCAACCTGGTTTACATCATTGACTTCGGGCTGGCCAAGAAGTATCGGGATGCCCGCACCCACCAGCATATCCCCTACCGAGAGAACAAGAACCTCACAGGGACGGCACGCTCTGCCTCCATCAACACGCACCTTGGCATTGAACAATCTCGAAGGGATGACTTGGAGTCTCTGGGGTACGTGCTGATGTACTTCAACCTGGGCTCTCTCCCCTGGCAGGGGCTGAAGGCCGCCACCAAGAGGCAGAAGTATGAGAGGATCAGTGAGAAGAAGATGTCCACTCCCATTGAAGTGCTGTGCAAGGGCTATCCTTCTGAATTTGCCACATACCTGAATTTCTGCCGTTCCTTACGTTTTGATGACAAACCTGACTACTCCTACCTGAGACAGCTCTTCAGAAATCTGTTCCATCGCCAGGGCTTCTCCTACGACTATGTGTTCGACTGGAACATGCTCAAATTTGGTGCCAGCCGAGCTGCAGATGATGCTGAGCGGGAACGCCAGGACCGAGAGGAACGATTAAGACACTCCCGGAATCCAGCCACGCGTGGCCTCCCTTCTACAGCTTCCGGCCGCCTGCGGGGAACCCAGGAAGTGGCTCCTCCAACGCCCCTTACCCCTACCTCACACACGGCCAACACCTCTCCTCGGCCCGTCTCTGGCATGGAACGAGAAAGGAAAGTGAGTATGCGGCTGCACCGTGGGACGCCTGTCAACGTCTCCTCGTCTGACCTCACGGGCCGACAAGATACCTCTCGCATGTCCACCTCACAGAATAGCATTCCTTTCGAACACCACGGCAAGTAGCTGCTCATCTCCATCGGAAGGCAGCACTGGATTCCCGGTCGGGTGGCTTCCAGTGGTCTTCAGTCTGTCGTGCACCGATGAGAACTCTCCTTTTTGCTGTGAAGGGCAGACAATGCATGGCTGATCTCCTCTGTTACCAATGGCTTTACTAGTGACACGCCCCCAGGTCTAAATGGGAGCTCTCCAGGCCACTCACCCAGCGATGCTCATGGGGAATCAAAACACAAACTAAATGGACAGGCTCCAGGAGCTGCCATCGCCAGGGGCTGCCACCGTGGCCCCATGTGAGCTCAGTTATCATGGGGCTGGGACGAAGAGCAGAGGCTGGGAGACCATTGCAGAGAGAACCCAACTCCCTGTGAAGAGCCTCTCAGCTCCCACCAGTGGTGGCGGACCTGCGCTCCCTGACGACTCCACCGCAGCTACCAGTCTCTTCTACTTGGTTAAGACAGTTTTGTATCATTTTGCTAAAAATTACTGGCTTAAATCTGAAAAAAACAAAACAAAACAAAACAAAACAAACAAACAAAAAAAACAACCCAAAGCTAATGTAAGTTGAAACTGTGTTAAATGCAATAACCAAACATGATTACTTGGAAAAGCAGGATACAGTATTGGCTGTGTACCATTATGATCAAATGATCATGTGACTGACTGACTGTAAGATGTGGCTTGATGCTATAGCTCAGAATCTCCAAAGAGTATATAAGGTTGGTGATCAGCATTCCAACGTTGTTGTGCCTGTATCTATTGAACATGATTACTTTCATCAGGGATATTTTTAACCAGCACATTACCTTTTCCACAAGATGCTTCAAAATGCTTAAAATTCCATCTTCCTGTAGTTGTCTCTTGGTCTCTGGTGGTTAGCAGTGGTTCTCAACCTTCCTAATGCTGTAACCCATTGTTACAGTTCTTCATGTTGTGTGACTCCCAACCATAAGATTATTTTTGATGCTACCTCACAATTGTAACTTTGCTGCTGTTGTGAATTATAATGCAAATAAATGAAATTCAGGATGATATGTGACCCCTGCGAAAGGTTGGTTCAACCCCAAAAGGGATCATAATACATAGGTTGAGAAACACTGTCCTATAGTGTTTATTATACTGGCTTAGGTGCTGAGAATAAATGTAAACAAGACAAAACTATTGTTTCCAGGAGCTTGATCATATTGCTAATAGATACTTGAATTATTCAAGTCGCCAAACAATAATTTTATCACATTATACAACAGAACTACTTTTTGTACAGATGTAACCTTATTAGTAAGTGTGTTATGCAGGTTGCATGAAGTAGAATAATTGACACATAGACTAAGCAGTACTACCTAAAACGGGATTTTCTAGTAATTTGTAGGTGATTATGTGAGCTTTTATAAATACATCTAGGTATCATCTATTATCTGTCTATTATTTTTCAATTGTCTACTAACAATAATGTATCTATAAAACTGATACATATGGATTTTATATGTAAATATTCTAGTATAAATATGTATCTGTGTCTGTATGTTTATATGTACATAGATTTTTATCTATTTAGGTTGAGTCAGTAAATATATATTCATCCTGATCCATCTAGTAAGGACTCAAAAGACTAACTCTTCACTACCTAAAAATCAATGTATACTTTAAGAATGTTCTGTTTCATTAAATTCTTATTAAGCCAAAATAATGTACACTGAATCAGTCAAAAGTAAGGAAAAGAAAGTTGCATTCTTCAGGTCTCTATTTTAGTTCTAGTTGAGGAACTGTTTATGAATTACTGCCTTTGCCAGAGTCATTCTGATTGCTAGTATAGTCTTCCCCATGGTCTGCCCCTACTGGTTTTCTCTGACTTACACTTAAACTTTTCAATTAAATTGTCTTCCTTTATTTACACACTGGTTGTAAAATTTAACCTTATTATTATTGCTATTTTTTAATGGTACCACTTTTTTGCTGTTCTGATCTATTCTAAAACTTGCCAACTATAAGTGCCCTGATCACAACAGGATTTTTTTTTTTTTCAGATTACTGGCTAAAAAGCAGTGACAAAACTTCAGAAAATTATATGCTGTTCTCTTCTTGAATCTTGTTTTAATGCTTATTACTACTCTTGGGACTATTAAGAAAATATTTCATGTTTGTGATGCAAGATAAATTGCTGCTGCTGAAAGCATTTTTAAATATTTTATTCATTTACTTTTTAAAAAATTAATTTAATTTTACTTTAGTTACCATGTTTTATTTACTTCTCTATCTGTGTGAGGGTGTCAGATCCTCTGAACCTAGACTTATAGACAGTTGTAAATTTCCATAGGAATACTGAGAATTGAACCAACGTCCTCTGGAAAAGCAGCCAGTGCTCTTAACCACTGAGACATCTATCCCTTCATCAAAGTATGTATTGTTATCTTGAAGTTTGAATTATTCATCTCTATAAACTTTTGTTTAAATGTTCTTCAAAGTATGTCTGATTAGTTGATAAATATTAATTCCTTTTCAGTTACTAGATGTTCATTGGTTTTCAATATTCTTCTAGGGAAAACAATATTTAAATTATTTAACCTATTGAAAAGTGAAAAATATTCTTATGTTAAGGAGATATGAAGAAATCAGAGGATTAGGAACCATATAGGGAATCACTCTTAATAGATGGTAACTTAGTGTCTTATTTAATTTTCTGTAATGAAATACCATAACAAAAACTTGTAGGAGGAAGAGTTTATTTTGGCTTACAGTTCCAGAGGGACAAGTGCCCATCATGCTGGAGAGGCATGGCAGTCAGTGCGAGGTGTGGTTGCAGGAGGACAAAGCTGAGAGACCATATCTCAAACACAAACATGAAGCAGAGAGAGTGAACTCTAAGCAGGGTTAGGCTAAGAACCCTTAAAGCCTGCCTCTAGTGCCGCACTTTCTCCAGCAAGGCTGTATCTTTGCACGACTTCCCTGCATAGCACCACCAGCCGGGGAGTAAGTGTTCAAATGTCTGAGCTGGTGGCATTTGAACTTCAAACAAGAACATCTAGCTTTAAAAAATATTTTTTTGGATGTGTTTGTGACACGTTATTACATACAATGGGAACGGAACGTTCCGGACTCTTCCTCCTCACTTGTCTCTTGGGCGTTTATGTGCATTTCCATGAAAGAACTGGGCTGCTGCTGCCTAGTTCTCTCCTAGACGGTACCTATGGCTAACATCTGAGATCTACCCCGAGTCTTTTGCCTGTGTAAAATGGTTGTATATAGAGGACCATGAACCTTAAGCATTTTAGATGGGACATGACAAATAATATTTAAGTATAAATAATATCGATTTGGGATCTAAAATTTGTATTTAACCAGACAAGTCTACTTCTTCTTACCTTTGCTTTTTAGAAAAACTCCAAGCAAATAAATTACCCAAATACATACATGAAAGGAATAACATGCCCTTTCTTCTTTCTTCCCTCCCTCCCGCCACTCCTTCCTCCTTTCCTCTCCTTCCTCTTTTTTCCTCCTTTCTTTTTATTTCTTCTCCTTTTCTCCTTCCTGTCTCTTTTGTGTTTTCTTTATGCCTTCCTTTTCAAAGGAAAAGTTATTGGCAGATAAAGTTCCATTGAGAAGAGAGACTAAAATTATTAATAAAACAGGCTCTTCAATTTTAAACTCAAGGGCCTCATTCCAGTTCTAACTATCTCGAAATGAAAATCTTAGCAGTGGCTGTGTTCTTGTGTTGGTTTTAGGAAGAGATACTATTACATGAAGAAATTGAATTCTTGTGAGTAATATAGGAAACTAATGAGAAAGTATCCCCACCTGAAGCTCCCCGTTCACCACAGGAAAATATTCTCATTGTGCCTTTATCGTAGGCACTCCAGAGGCATTACATTCTAGTGGAAAGAAGGTATCAGCAGTGTGATGGCTTTTTATTTTCCAATTTCACACTATGGAACATGATCATCAAATGATTTTTCCTCTTTCTCTAGCTTATACTAATAGGAATGCAGGGATTACAGAAAATAATTGCATAAATGGCTACTTCCTGCCAATATAAAATGTCACTGAACACAATGGCCAGGCCTTTTTCCCAACAACTGCTGACTTTTTGGTCTGACCTGTGAAGATAAGTCACATAAGCTACTTAAAGTTGGAAAAACAATCTTTTGAGATTAAAATGATGAAAGCTTCAAAGCTGGCTTGATTCTGATTTTGATTTCCTGTTAAGTTCTTGGGTATAGTGTGGTAAATTTTAGAATTTGTTCTTTTTAGTGGTTATCTAGGTACTTTTGTCCATTTGCTCCACGGCTATATTTTAGTAGTTAGCCACTTGTTGTTTGGCAATATGGACTATGAGACAAGGTGCCCTAGTATTGTTTCTTCAACTCTGAAGAGTGAAGTCTTATAGAAAATAAAAATAGTTTGAAGAGAGAGAAGGATTGGTTAAATTGTTTACCATCTCTTGAAGTTTAACAGTTGGCAAGTTCAGTTGCAGCAAGGAAGTATTAGTTATTAAAATGTAACAGGAATCATGTCAGATGAGCTGACATATGCCAGGTGCCCACTGTGGCAATGGTCTCCATTGTATCACTTAGGAAGGAAACCCATTTTCACTCTATTCTCTTAGGTATCTTCAATTAACAAGCCCAGTGTGTGATTCCTGGCCTCTCCCTCCAAAGAGCTTCATCTGCAGTCTTTCCCCCCCTCCTGTGGTTGGTAGTCTCATCTCTCCTGGTATTAGTGTTCATACCTCACTTGTCTTTCATACGCCATACAAATCCTCAGGGAAAACCTTTGGATCTACTTCTAAACCTAGCAGAGTCATATGGCTACTTTTTTTCCCCCCTACTGCTGCCGTTTTATTCTAAGCCACCATTTTTTTTTCAGTCACATGATTGTGATGGCCATGGTCTTTGTTTTTCTGCTTTTGTTCTTTACCCACCCTAATTTATTTTAATAGAGCTGATTATTGTAAAAATGGAATGATAATCATGCCACACCATAGCAGGCACTTCTGTTTCTATACTTCCCTCAGAATAAAGTCTTTATTAACTCAACAGCAACTTGCACATCACCTGTGTTAGCTCCTCTCTGATGCTAGGCCATCTTCTCATTCCTCATGCTTTCTTTTTAGGTGGACTTCTTTAAATTGTGATCCCATGTAACTATGACACTCTTAGTTATTCTCAGCTCAATACAGTTG